GGCTGTACTAATTTGCATTCCCACCAACAGTGTAAGAGGGTTCCCTTTTCTCCACACCCTCTCCAGCATTTATTGCTTGTAGACTTTTGGATAGCAGCCATCCTGACTGGCGTGTAATGGCGTGCATTTCTCTGATAATGAGTGATGTTGAGCATCTTTTCATGTGTTTTTTTGCCATCTGTATGTCTTCCTTGGAGAAATGTCTGTTTAGTTCTTTGGCCCACAGCCTTAGGGTTAAGCACGGAGAATATCTTCTCTCCCCGAAAGCCGCTCATTGGTCTTTTGGTTCTTCCCCCACAATATTAATCTCTGCTGCATATCTAGGACAGGAGACCATGGCTTTGGGCTCTGATCTAGGAGGGGCTTGGCCTGAAGAGGGTGGGGTCCTGACTTGAGTGCTGGCCATGCAAAGTCAGCAAGAAGTATCACTTATGGAGGACAAGGTTATTTTTTCTGATCTGGCTTCACATTTGAACATGGTTTCCTTTTCCTTGAACCCAAATAGGAGTTGAGACAGTACCTGGTACATATTAGTGCTCAGTAAATAATGCTGAATGAAAGGATTTGGTGTCTAGATGAAAGGTCATGTTCATTTTCTCTGTTGGACTTTCTCACAGCTAGTATCAGGATGATAATGATGTCAAGAGATAATACTTATAAAACACATATTATGTGCCAGGTACTATTCTAAGCCCTTTACACATGCTAACCGATTGTCATGGCAACCTATGAGGTTGGCACTGTTATTATCCCCATTTTATAGGGAATAAAACTGAACCAGAGAAATCAGTAACTTGTCCAAGGTTACGTAACTTAGTGGTGAAGCAAAATTCAAACCTGAGAAGTCTGGCTTGAGTCCATATTCTTAACCACATACTGTACTGACTCTTGACATTGAATGTAGGTAGATTCACCACTTAGCTCATTGACTCATTCATTAAGTTATGCATTCGTTCATTCAACAAATATTTCTTGATATTTACTATGAGGATTCAATAGTGAATGAGATGCGCAAGGTCTGTCATGAAGGTGATACATAGTGAGCGAAACACCTTTGCCCAACTTCTCTTTGAGTCATGCACACCTCAGAAATGAGAAAATGAACCCCATACAGGCAAGGCCACAGCATCCTTTTGGGGAGAGGGGAGTGGTATCTTTTTGGATAAGACAAAATTTGATTCCAGCCTTTCCTGTTTGTTGGGATTTTGTAAGGGACAGTTAAGTGGTAAAAGTGAATGCAGCCTGATTTGGCACAATAATTTTATATCCTTGAATCTAATAAATATTGTAGGTTTTTATATCATGGAAATGAAAATAAAAAATTGTGTGTAGTCTGGTCTCCTGGGCAGGAAATGCAGGCCTGGGCCTGGTTATCGTAGATTCTCTTTTTTTTTCTTAAAGTCTATTTTAAAAAATTGAGATATAGTTCATGTATAATATTATATCAGTTATAGGTATGCAACATAGTGATTCATAATTTTAAGGTTATATTCCATTTATAATTATTGTAAATTATTGGCTATATTCCCTGTGTTGTACAGTATATGTTTGTAGCTTATTTATTCTATACATAATAGTTTGTACCTCTTTATCTCCTACCCCTATCATGTCCCTCCCCCTTTCCTTTCCCTACTGGTAATCACTAGTTAGTCCTCTATATCTGTCTCTGTTTCCTTTTTGTTATATTCATTAGTTTGTTGTATTTTTTTAGATTCCACATGTAAGTCATATCATACAGTATTTGTCTTTTTCTGTCTGACTTATTTCACTTAGTATAATACCTTCCAAGTCTATCCATATTATTGCAGATGGCAAAATATTCTCTCTTATGGCTGAGAATTCCATTGTATTTATGTCCACATCTTCTCTATCTGCTCATCGTTGGTGGACACTCAGGCTGCTTCCATATCTTGGGGATTGTAAATAATGCTGCTATGATCATTGGGGTACTTTAGAATTAGTATTTTCATTTTTTCAGATCTATATCCAGGAGTGGAATTGCTGGGTCATATGGTAGTTCTATGTTTAGCTTTTTGATTTTCCACAGTGGCTGCCCCAATTTACATTCCTCCTAACTGTGTATGAGGGTTCCCTTTTCTCCACATCCTTGCTAACATTTTTTATTTGTGGCCTTTTCGATGACAGCCATTCTGACAGGTGGGAGATGATATCTCATTGTGGGTTTAATTTGCATTTGTCTTATTAATGATGTTGAGCATCTTTTCATGTGCCTGTTGGCCATCTGTATGTCTTCTTTTGCAAAATGTCTATTGAGGTCTTCTATTCCCTTTTTAATTGAGTTGTTTGTATTTTTGATGTTGAGATGAATGAGGTATTTATATATTTTGGTTATTAGCCCCCTATTGGTTATATCATTAGCAGTATATTCTTCCTTTCAGTAGTATCATAGATTGTCTTAATGTTCTTTCAAAAGGTAAAAGGCTTTGAGTTTGGGACCAGTGCTCCTCAGTCTAGGGGGACTTCTGGGCCATGAGGAGCAGATATGTGTTAGGCTCAAGGAGGAATTGTTAGTTCCTGAGCAAAGTTTGCTCTCCCAAGACAAAGCCACAGTTTTCTTCAAAACTGCTGCTCTTCTGGAGGGTCTTGCATCCCTCCAGTGGGACCCTTGGCCATTGTCCCAGCCTGTGTCATTGTAGTGGGGCTGCTGCCCATCTCTCTTGGGACATGATGGAGTAGATCTCATGCTAATCACTGGGGCCTGGGAAGGCAGCTTTTTCTAGATTGGAAAATGAAGGCTCAAAGTGGAAGGCATTTTCCAAAGCCTATGCCCAGGATATGCATAGGTATTTTTCCCTAGGGTGTCAGTGGTGGAAGGGTCAAATAAGTGTGTTGGGTCAAACGAAGTCAAGCAGCTTTTAAAAAGTTATTGTTTGTTCATTTTTATCTGCGTTGGCTCTTCGTTACTGTGCATGGGCTTTTCTCCAGCTGCGGTGAGCGGGGGCTACTCTTTAGTTGGGGCGCTCAGGCTTCTCACTGCAGTGGCTTCTCTTGTTGGGCTGACTGGCTCTAGGGTGCACAGGCTCAGTAATTGTGGTGTGAAGAGTTAGTCACCCTGTGGTGTGTGGGATCTTCCTAGACCAAGGATCGAACCCATGTCCTCTGCTTTGGCAGGTGGATTCCCAACCACTGGACCACCAGAGTAGTCCCCTCAAGCAGCTTTCTGGACCAGAGGATTTCTAAATGTGTAGAATCTGCTAGTAGGAATTGTGTGTGTGAATTCCCACGAAGGACTATGGTATGCAGTATTGTATAAGCCTTCTGGCATTCTATGTTTTACAGACTACACTTTGGAAAATGCTCGTTTAGACCAGAACTTTTCATGGTCTGGTTAAAGATCTAGAATGAGACTCCTGGATGTGCTAGGTCAAGTCGGTTCTCAGATGCATGGGCTAGGATGCTCCATGGCAGCCCCATCCTGACCCCCCTCCCACCCCAAACACACTAGCCGAAGGAATCATTTGCCTTTCCTCCCTCTGGCAAAATAGTGCTAAGGGCTCAGGCTTTTTTCCCCCCTCCATGTTAAGGGCGTTTAATTACTCAATGAATACACGTGCCCGTCCCTCTAGGTTGCTTGTAGCCTGCTGGCCGCACTGTTCGTGAAACAGCTGTGAGGACAGGTGGGTCTTAATCTCTGGGTAGCTGAAGCCCAGCAGCCCGAGGATCGTGTGTCAAGCCTGTAATCCCACTCTGGACGCTCAGGAGCTATTATGCGGCTCAGGAGGGCACAGCCTCACGACTGGACATGAGGAGGTGACTCAGGCCCAAGCCAGGGCTGCAGCCAGCCTCCCAGTAAACAACTGGCCCCATCCTCTCTGGGCGCTTCTCCCCAGGGTTTCAACAGCACCACAGAAATAGCCCTGTTGCTCATGGTTATTTCCCAGACCCATGCCGCTGCTCTCAGTCCCTGGGAGGCCGGGTGTCTGTTGTGAGCTTCCCCACAGAGGACTGTCCTTCTCCTAAAGGGCGGGTGAGGAGTGGGACTTCACGCCCTGGGAGGCTGTAGTGATCCACCCGGACTGCTCCGTGGCCTACCTGAGGCAGGCAGCCGGGCAGCTGCTGGTGGCCGCATCCAGCCGGCCCTCAGGAGGCTTCTCCAAGCTGGAGGCCCACGTGGGAGCTGACGGCGGCAGTAAGGAGGGGAGCGGGGCAGGTGGGCTTGGCCGGGGCAGGTGGCAGGCGCTTCTTTCCTGGGGGTGGGGGGGTGGGCGGGTAGGCCCACTGCTCTGGCTGAGCTGGTCAGGTTGCCCTGTCATCTCTGATGTGCAGCTCCCTTCCGGGAAGGAGCCAAAGGAGGCAGTCTCTCATCCTCACCTGCTCCCGCCCTTCCCTCCCCTTGAGCTTCTGTCCTTTCCCCCTCTTAGGGGTTGGGGGAGGGGCTCGCATTGGCAACTGGCCCAGAGCCCCCTCCCCCCTGCACCGCCAGTCTTGGGGTGCTCCCAGGAAGGTTGCTTCGGGGTGGGGAGCCCTCTGAGGGGACCAGGGCAGGCTTGTAAGTTGAGCCTGGTCGCAAGGCAGAGCCTGAAGTGAGGTTCAGAAACGGAAGCGGAGCAGGTGATGGTATCGCAGCTAGTGCTCAGCTTTCGGGAGGGGTCTGGACGTTCGAGGGAGGGGGTGGCTTATCAGCTGTGGTTGGTCGGGAAGGCTGAATGTACTCTTGCCTAGGGCGGCAGCAGCAGCTTGAGTTTCCTGCTCTGAAGGGGGCTGTGAGTGGGGCCAGGACACCACTTTCTGGACACAGCAGCTGTGATAGCTGGCATTACCTGGGCTCTTTAGGACTCTTGGAAATTTTCCACTTTCATTTCATATTCATGGAAGAAATTCCAGCCCAGACGTATCCTGCTGCTGCTCAGGGCTGCTCACAGATATGCAAAGCAGAGACCTCCCACCACAGCAGCAGACAGCCCAGCTAGCTGCTCTCACACTGACTCAGTTCTGCCTCCCGGACAGCACGCAGCCCTTGGTCCGAGTGCGTCACCTGGATGGCATCCTCAGGAGCAGCCATGGGGACCCCAGTGCCAGGCTCAGGTCTGTGTCGTGGGTTCTGACCTTGGGAGTCTGGCAGGAGGGAGAAACAGCTTCATTTGTGTAGCGAAGGGATTTTTAAGAGGCGCTGTGCCCCTTTTCTGCAGAGGCTGTGATGCCGTGATAAAGTGCCTGTTTGTTGAAATTGGTGGCACATTACAGCTTTCTAACTTTGGGACACTTTGCCGCCAAGCTCACTGGAGGGTGCGGTATTCTATGTCACAGCGACATAAGCTGTATAACTAGCCAATGCCAGTGAATTCACAGTTGAGCCTCCCAAGCGTGCTGGCTTCAGCTGACAAGTGGTTGAAAGTCAGGCCTGAACTGGCGGTTGGAGCTGAAGCTCTGCTGGGCGTGTGTACAGTTTACTTTCCGCCACATGCCTGACCTGGCCGGGGTCTCTGGGTCTGAGAAGAGAGGCAGGCTCTGGAGGGAGGGGTTGGCAGAACCAACCAATTGTCTGCCAATGAAGTGCAAAAGACAACAAATATCCAGAAGGCTCCTAAGACCCACTGATTTAGCCCAGCACCCTGGCTAGGTTACTTGGTCAATTCTAAGGCATGGAGTAGTCTTCACCAGTTATTGAAGATGTTGGTAGTAGTGCTGCAGGGGATTCATATGGATAATGACACAAAGGTCTCTGGGGAGATGGTACTGTGTGGTCCTCAAGTCTTTGGTGTGCCCGATGAATCTGGGGTGAAGAGGCTATGGAATGCAGCATTTCCCTAATTATTGACCCCAGGACCTGTTTCATAGCAACAGGTATTGACTTCTAATGAGACCCAATATGGAAAAGACTGACTTAAACTATTTGAGCTAAAGAAAAAGGAAGATCACTTGTAGAAGGATGCATCCTGTAAAGTATGTTTAGTTGACTTGAGTAAACTAAAAATGCTTTGTGGAAAAATTGGCAGGATCTGGCATAAGAGCCCTCGGACACAAAAGACACCCCCAAATGGCCCACTTCTGAGGGGATGTGGCTGGGTCATGCTTGTGTGTGTTTAGTGGGGTATAAGGAAGCGGTGGTGAGCAGCCTCTGTGATGCTATCGCAGCTAAAGGGCTAAAGCTAATGCAGAGATGGGTCTTAAAAGTGGTATTCCTTTTGGACTGGCCTTTCTGGTGTGGATTAGATGGGAGAGGACCCTGATGGCCAAAATATGGAATGCAGACATTTGATTAGTTTTCCTATTTTTCTCTTTTTAGAACTCTTGAGTCTATTCATTTTCTTTGTTTTTGTGCAAATGACATTACAATAGCATCAATGATCAAAATCAGATATTGCCTCTCCCACTGGCTGTCCTGCCATCTGGTCATTTAAGTATGTCTCTTGCAGCCTTGTTCCATAAGGGGATGTGTTTTCGCATCATTGTAATCAGAGCTTGGGAACAATTTCATGTATTAGTTTTTTCATTTGCTGTTATCTCACAAGGTATTTTTTTATGTGATGGCACTGTCCTCGTGATTATAATTTTGGTTGCTTCATGTTCTTTTTCAAGTGAGTATGCTCTCGTCTGAACCTTTTAAAGCTATTTCTATGAAGAGTGCAGGTAAATATCTTTGTGCATTTTCCTTCCTTCAGATTCTTTTCTTAGAAGCAATTTCTCAAGTAGGCTTACTGTTTCAGATGCTTGAATGCTTTATGGCTTTTGCTGCCCCTTGCCTGGAGCCCTTTAAAGATCTGGAAAGCTGCGCTTGACAGAGGCCTTAGATTTGGGGGATGAGGAACAAAGTTGGTCCAGCTTTGTTCACCCCTAACAGCTCCTCCTGGGTCCAGCTCTTTGTCTTTCTCTCCATTTCTTCCTTCTGTCACCTTTTTCTCTGGCCTCTGCTCTGATGGTTTCCAGCTTCCTCTTCTCTGCTATCAGGGTGTGGTAATCTCCACAGCCAGCCGTTCCTCTTCATCTTTGCAGGATGCTATCTTGGTCTCTGCTGCCACAGACCAGCACAGTTGCGTCCTGGGCTGCCTCTCCCCTCCCACTCAAGTCCCGAGGGGTGAGAGGAGCCCAGGAAAGGCCTGGCCCTGGGGGCGGAAGGAAGGAGGAAATTAGTTTCACAGTCTAAGGGCCCACAGAGGTTTTGTAGAATACCTCTCTGTATAGCCTGCCCTTTAAGCAGCCTGCTTTCCTCTTGCCTGTCTGTGTCATGAATTAGACCCACAGGCCGCAGAGAAGACCAGAGCTGCAAGCTCTTCTGGAACCAGAAACCTCACTGGTACCTAGAATTATGGTGCTTAGAACTGAGAGGGCCTCGGAGACCACTTAGTCCAGTCCCTTTATCTCACAGATGAGAACAAGGGGAGGCGTAGAGAGTGACTGCCCCCAACTGCTCAGAGTCCCTCCTCCCCTGAAAGTGCTTCCTCTCCCCGCCAGGGAGCAGCCGGGCACTGTCTCAACTGTCAGCCTCTGTCTGCCTGGTGGAATCACGTCTCTCTTTAAACCCTCCTTAGAGAAACCGGATTGACAGAAAGCTCCTCTCCTGGAGCTGTTCCTGGTGAAGGTGGCTTGTGGAAGGGATACAGTATTGGTCTGCTCCATAGGCGGGATGCTGGGGACGGTGAGGGGACCTGCCTGGACCCCCAAATGGGCAGAGAGAAGCAGCACAGTTTCGGGGTTCAGAGGACAGATGCCGGAACCAGATTCGTGTGCTCAGAGCCCCTGAGCAGAGGCTCAGAGAGGGAAGGGATGGGAGCCAGTGGCTGAGAACAGCGCAGGTCACGGCCTGCTTATTAAAAGTGTGACCCTGGGCAAGTTAGCTCTCTGCGCCTTCATTCTCTCATCTGTAAAAGGGGAACAAGAGGACTAACTGAGTTAGTACATGTATAGGGCTTGACAGAGCGCACTTACTACGTTCTATATAAATGTTGAAAGACAGGCAAAGAAAAGAACCAACCAGGCGATTTAGGCCAGCTACTGATAGTGAGAAGCCAGTGTGCAGAGGAGGTAAGGGCAAGCTTCTTTGTGGATGTGAGTCTTCAGCCGGGCTGTGAAAGATAAAGAGTTTCCCTGTCCCCAGATTTTTATTTTCCTGGCTGTCCTGTTAGAGGTTCCAGAGGGTTTGGGAGATGGTGCCACTTGGTTTCCTTTCAGCAACAGTTCTCATTTTGTGTAGTGAGGAATGCAGCTGTGGATCTCCTGGGATCTTCACCGATCATTAGACCCTTTGGGCTTTGGCCTTCCTCTCTATGCAGTGGGGAGCAGGTTTGGTCACTGTAGCACCCCACATGGCCTCCTCATCATCTACACGAGGGGTCTGAACTCTCCCCTCCACAGGAGGTGGGAAGGGTGGGGCTTGCCTGTGCACAGAGGATTCCCTGGGTTTGGGAAAACAGTAGAACACTTGGTTGGACAGTTCATGCTTTCACTTTGGAGCATTTGCTTTCTCATGAGATGTAAGTGGGCCTATACCTTTCACATTTACTCACTTATGGAGCTAGTTGTAAAAATTGGCCTGTTGGGCTTGGTCCGGGGAATTCCTGAGTAGACAGTGGACCCCAAAGACTGGGGTACCTGGCCCTTTTTTCAGTGCCTTCTACCCTGCACACCAGTGACTCAGGTGGTCTAGTAGTTCTTGGCTCACGTTGGTTCTCTTTTTCTGCCAGCCGAGATGCCGCGCCAATTCCCCAAGCTGAACATCTCCGAGGTGGATGAGCAAGTCCGGCTCCTGGCCGAGAAGGTGTTTGCTAAAGTACTCCGGGAAGAGGACAGCAAAGATGCCTTGTCCCTCTTCACAGTCCCTGAGGACTGCCCCATCGGGCAGAAGGAGGCCAAGGAGAGGGAGCTGCAGAAGGAGCTGGCGGAGCAGAAGTCCTTGGAGACTGCGAAAAGGTTTGTCCCCCTGACCTGGGTGGGGTTGTGCAGACACAGGTGGGCTGCGGGCACTTGTCTTGTGATGAGGTGCCTTGTGTGAAATCGGCTGTCCTAGGAGCTGAATTTAGTTCTTAATCAGGACTATTTAACTCACCACGTGTTCACTGAAGGGTGTTGTGGTGCCTTTGGTTGAAAAGATGGAAAACCACTTTCTCTACTGCTGTTTTAAAAACAAATCATGTGCCTAAATACACACGATTTCCAAATAACATTTCCATCTTTTTTCTAGAAACTTGAGGATTTCTTGGGAAATATCAATTTTACTTCTTTCATCACTTGACAAGTATTTTGCGTTGTTAATTAACTCAGCTCACTATTTGCCAGGTGTTGCGCTGGGCACTGGGGATGTATCAATGAACTAGATATAGTCCCTGCCGTGTAGAGCTTACAGTTGGTCTAGAGAGTAATTGACTGGGAAAATTAATTGAGAAATGACAAGTTGTGATAACTGCTGTGTCAGTCAGAGTCTAACCAGAAAAGCAGAAACTCCTTGAGTACTGGAAGTAGGATGTTTTCTCAGGAAATTGGTTACAGAGGTGATAAAGAACCAAGCAGTGGGGAGAGAGGCCGCCCAGAGAGTAGACACAGTAGGAAGCAGCTGTCACCCCAGCCTGGAGAGACAGTGGAGGGAAGTGGGGTTGCTGGAACTTGGGGCGGAGGAGTGGGAACTGCGGTGGCCTTTCCAATGGAAACTGGAGCCTCTGGGGTGATGCACCAGCCGCAGAGATGGCCTCCGAAGGCCGAGATGGAGACAAGAGATACCTGGCTTTAATTTTTCTGGCACGTTCTCGTTTCCCCCACTGGTTGCCATCGTCCAAGCCTAGCCAGAAGCCAGCTGACACGGGAGAGGGAGTCCTTTTTCAGGTTGGGTAGTTAAGGAAGGTGACATTGTAGCTGATGCAAGGGTGTAAGGGAGCCAGCTACTGTAGAGCTGGGTGAGCGCCTTATAGGCAGAGGAACCTGGGCAAAGGCCCTTGGGTATCTTCAGGGAGGCCTGTATACGGTCGAGGTGTGGTAAGGGTGAAGTGCCGTGGTCTCCATCTGGAGGGGCAGACAGGGCCCAGATCAGATTGGCCTGTGCTCCCTGGGAAGTAGTTTGGATCTCTAAGTGCATTGGGAAACCTCCACCTTTGAGTTTATCTCACCTGTGTTGTGCTGTGTACTTAGTTCTTGCAGTCGTGTCCACCTCTTTGTGACCCCATGGACTGCAGCCTGCCAGGCTCCTCTCTCCATGGGATTCTCCAGGCAGGAATACTGCAGTGGGTTGTCATTTCCTTCTGTAGGGGATCTTCCCAAACCAGGGATTGAACCTGCATCTCCCTTGTCTCCTCCATTGCAGGTGGATTCTTTACCCTCTGAGACATCTGGGAAGCCCATCTCACCTGGGAGAGCAGAATTAAAGACTAGAAAGCTTTGAGGAAGTGTCTGGTGGGGAGCTAGGTGCCTGCCTGGCTGGCACACTGCAGACCTGAACAGATAAGGTAGTGGAACTTGAGCCTTCTCTGCAACCTAGTCCATCTTCAGGTCCTTCCTAAGGTACCACCTCATTTTAAAAGGCAAGTCCTTTCTTTCCTTGGTAGTATAGAACTTCAGTACTTGGGTGACATTTTTTAGGAGAGTAGTGAAAAATCAAGTACTGGTATAAGGGCAAGAACAGAGCTTTATCGTGCGGAATATAAGTGCTTCCCTTCCTCTGAGGGTTAGTGAGCCCATGAAGTGAAGGGGTTGTTGATGTCATTAGCCAGTGAGGTGGTCACAAGGTACCCTGGGGAGTAAAGCAGAGCCCGACTGTGGAGACCCTCGTCCATACTTTGCTGGCTGAACAGACGTTATGAAGTGAATGCCCTGCAGGACCTTCTGTCTTCTGAATTGAGCATTTTGGACCCTTAATAATGAGAAGGAGTCCTGACATTTTGTATTACTAGAAATGATAGGTTTCTGAGGTCAGTTTCCATTACAGAGAGACTCTGGACCTGACGTCTGCAAAAGAGATTCTTCTGTTATCAACGCCCAGGCTAACAGCAAGCCTTCTTGCTCTTGAGTCCAAACGATGCTGCATGGTTTCCAGAAATTCCTCTGCAACTTTCTCTCCAGAAGTTTCATTCTTTTCCCTACTTGTTAGGTTGTGGTGGTCTTGGTTTGCATCTGTCTGCCCCCTTTGACTGGAAGCTTCCTGAGGACTGTGTCTGGCTCCCACTGTATCCCAAGGATCCAGCCCAGAACCTAACCTGTGTTGGTGAGCAGTGGTCCTGTGGTAGGAGAAAGACATGCCGTTTCTCCACTGCCACCACAGACACTACCTCAGAGTGGCCACGGCTCGCTGGATCACTGTGTTCTGCTACTCACTGGGATGCTCTGTGACCTTGGGCCATTAGGAAACCTCTCTGTGCCCCAGTTTTTCACCATCTGTAAAGTCAAGAGCTACTTTCTTGGGATGTTGTGAACAATGAGGGAATTAACATGTAAAAGGCTTAGGGCAGGGCCTGGGTCATGGTAAGTGCCATGGAAATTTTAACTATTGGTCCAACTTCCTGCAGCAGAGATGGGCAGCAACCTTACTGTGGACTAAGTTAATTTGTATATTAAACTTTGTTGTTCAGTTGTTCAGTAGTGTCCAACTCTTTGCAATCCCATGGACTGCAGCACACCAGGCTCCCCTGTCCTTCACTGTCTCCCGAAGTTTGCTCAAACTCACGTCCATTGAGTTGGTGATGCCGTCCAACCATCTCATCCTTTGTCACCCCCTTCTCCTCTCTCTCAGTCTTTTGCAGAATCAGTGTCTTTTCCAGTGAGTCTGTTCTTCACATCAGGTGGCCAGTCTTGTAGCTTCAGCTTTAGCATCACTTCTTCCAATGAATATTCAGGGTTGATTTCCTTTAGGATTGGTTGGTTTGATCTCCTTGCTGTCCAAGGGACTCTCAAGAGTCTTCCAGCACCACAGTTCAAAAACATCTATTCTTTGGTGCTCAGTCTTCTTTATGCTCCAACTCTCACATCTGTACTTGACTATTGGAAAAATCATAGCTTTGACTAGATGGACCTTTGAATGCAAAGAAATGCCTCTGCCTTTTAATACACTGTCTAGGTTTGTTATAACTTTTCTTCCAAGAAGCAAGTGTCTTTTAATTTTGTGGCTGCAGTCACTGTCTGCAGTGATTCTGGAGTCCAAGAAAATAAAATCTGCCACTGCTTGCACTTTTTCCCCATCTATTTGCCATTAACTGATGAAACCAAGTTCTATGATCTTAGTTTTTTGAATGTTGAGTTTTTTTTTTTTTTGAATGTTGAGTTTTAAGCCAGCTTTTTCACTCTCCTCTTTCACCTTCATCAAGAGGTTCTTTAGTTTCTCTTTACTTTCTGCCATTAGACTGGTATTATCTGCTTGTCTGAGGTTGCTGATACTTCTCCTGGCAATCTTGATTCTAGTTTGTGATTCATTCAGCCTAGCATTTAACGTAATGTACTCTATATATAGGTTAAATAAGCAGGGTGACAATATACAGCCTTGACTTACTCCTTTCCCAGTTTTGAACCAGTCCATTGTTCCATGTCCATTCTGACTGTTGCTTCTTGACCTGCATATAGTTTCCTCAGGAGGCTGGTAAGGTGGTCTGGTATTCCCATTTCGAAGAATTTTCCACAGTTTGTTGTACAAATTTTAGCATAGTCAATGAAGGCTTTAGCATAGTTAATGAAGCAGAAGTAGATGTTTTTCTGGAATTCTCTTGCTTTTTCTATAATCCAACGGATGTTGGATTATATAGGATTATATAGTATAAATATATAATATATAATAATATATATAATATATAATAATATATATAATATATAATAATAATATAGGATTATATAATATATAATATAGGATATTATAGGATCTCTGGTTCCTTTGCCTTTTCTAAATCCAGTTTGTACATCTGGAAGTTCTCCATTCACATACTGTTGAAGCCTTGCTTGGAGGATTAGAGCAATTTTGAGCATTGCTAACATGTGAAATGAGTGCAGTTGTATGATAGTTTGAACATTCTTTAGCATTGCCTTTCTTTGGGATTCTTTTTTCCAGTCCTGTGGCCATGGCTGAGTTTTCCAAATTTGCTGGCATATTGAGTGTGGCACTTTAATAGCATCTTCCTTTAGGATTTTAAATAGCTCAGTTGAAATTCCATCATCTCTACTAGCTTTGTTTATAGTATTGCTTCCTAAGGCCCACCTGACTTCACACTCCAGGATTTCTGGCTCTAGGTGAGTAACCACACCATCTTCATTACGTGGGTCATTAAGATCTTTTTTGTATAGTTATTCTGTGTATTCTTGTCACCTCTTCTTAATCTCTTCTGCTTTTGTTAGGTCCACATTAAGTTTCAGTTCAGTTCAGTTCAGTTGCTCAGGTGTGTCTGACTCTGCGACCCCATGAATCTCAGCACGCCAGGCCTCCCTGTCCATCACAAACTCCCAGAGTTTACTCAAACTCATGTCCATCGAGTCAGTGATGCCATCCAGCCATCTCATCCTCTGTCGTCCCCTTCTCCTCCTGCCCCCAATCCCTCCCAGCATCAGGGTCTTCTCCAATGAGTCAATTCTTCGCATGAGGTGGCCAAAGTACTGGAGTTTCAGCTTCATTGTCAGTCCTTCCGATGAACACTCAGGACTGATCTCCTTTAGGATGGACTGGTTGGATCTCCTTGCAGTCCAAGGAACTCTCAAGAGTCTTCTCCAGCACCACAGTTCAAAAGCATCAATTCTTTGGCACTCAGCTTTCTTCGCAGTCCAACTCTCACATTCATACATAACCACTGGAAAAACCATAGCCTTGACTAGACAGACCTTTGTTGGCAAAGTAATGTCTCTGCTTTTTAATATGGTATCTAGGTTGGTCATGACTTTCCTTCCAAGGAGTAAGCGTCTTTTAATTTCATGGCTGCAATCACCATCTGCAGTGATTTTGGAGCCCCCCAAAA